ATTTCTGAAGGATCATGTGACACTGAAGACTGGAGTAGTGATGCTGAAAATTCAGCTTTTTTAAATACACTTTAACATATATTCACATAGAAACAGTTATTTTAAATTGTAAAAATATTTCACAATATTTGTTTTGATCAAATAAATGCAATATTGATGAGCATAAAAGATTTTTATATAGTGTGTTTAATTCTGTATGTATAGTTTCAAATCAGTTGTTTTTTCCTTTTAAATTTTAAAATGTACATTTAAAAAATTGTTATTAATATTATAAATTAACTTAATTAACAAAATTAACTTTTTAATACTTTATTAAAATGTTGAGTATGTCTATTTATTTGACTATTTATTTATTTATTTTTTATTAATAAATTGATCATTTTTACAATAAAATCCTAATTTTTTTCCCCTCCACATTTTTTTGTCATAGATGTTTGAGACATGTTGAGCTTGGTGATTGCAAACTGCCAATTACTTTTATTAGAAGTAGAAATAGTAAAAATATTATTCAGTATTTTGATTTTAAAACTTTTTTTCTGATAAAAATATGTGTTCAATGTTTTGAATTAGCTTTCAAACTATCACTTCTGGCCAAAATATGTGTCTATAATTCATAATAACGTTTCCTCCAGTGAAAAAGTCCATCTCCTGTTGTCTCTCAAATCAAAATCCACCAACATATATGTTTTGAGCTGTTTTGGACTGATTCGCTTGATCTGTTCGGATTTCTCTCTTGATTCAGACGAGACCACATCTTCACTGGAGGAAGCGTTATTATGGACTCGTATTTTAGCCAGAAGCGACAGCTAAAAACATCTTTGTTTCTAACAAACATGCAGCTTTTTGCTTTAACTGATGGACTGGAGTGGTGTGGATTACTTGTAGATTATTGTGATGTTTTTATCAGCTCTCATTCTGACGGCACCCATTCACTGCAGAGCATCCACTGGTGAGCAAGTGATGTAATGCTACATTTCTCCAAATCTGATGAAGAAACAAACTCATCTACATCTTGGATGACCTGAGAGTAAATTTTCATTTTTGGCTGAAATATTCCTTGTTTTAATCATATGTTGTTGTGGGCTTAAACTATGAAGGGTTTTGCACAATGGAAGTTAAATACAAACAGCAACGTCTGTAGCAATAATCTAATGAACCGGTCTGATGAATCAGACAATAAAATGCATTGAAATGGTGAAAACAACTTCAATACCTCAGACTATGCTGGAATTCTTCAACGGGCACAATTGACTTGCTTATGAACACTCGCAGCAGAAAAACTGATCATGAAATTATGTTTTTCACTTGACTTTTCCTTGCTGGATCAAGTGAAATTAGGTTTTTTTTAAAGCAGCATTTATAACCAAAGCCTTAACAACACTTCTGAACTTTGTGAAATGCAAATGTTTTTGTATTTTATTGAAGGTGTAGAACGTCATGTTCTCCGAAGTTAAAACTTTGTAATACATTGTTCAACCAACAAATGTGCATCGTTTATCAAATAAATGAACGCAGATTTACTTCAGCTGTTCTTTATTTCAGTCTTTTTACAAAAATAAGGCTGCGCTCTTAAGTCTGGGTAGTTTCAACAATATGTCGGTTACATAATTAAACGCGAGAATGAACGTGTTACAAAACATTTCTATACTCAAATGTTTTTACAGAATGATTTACATAGAAATATATTCGATTCAAAGTAGTTCTATGAACCATTTACACAGAAATTCATTCTCATGATAAAAGTAAATTTAAATAATTTGTAATTCTTAATTGTCACATTGAATTGAATTAACACTTCACAGTAGGTTAAATTTGTTAACATATTAGATATCATAAATTAGCAATGAAAAATACTTCTACATATGCTAATACATTTTAAACGGGTCATGTTGTATAAATTAACATTAATGTATTATGAACAAACTAACAATGAGTTAACAATAAACAATATTTTATTTATATATTAACATTAGATTTGATTAATAATTGCTGTAAAAAGTTGTTCATTATTAGTTTATAAAACCTAATGCATTAAAAAAAATGAACCTTTCATGAATTAATGCTTTATGTGGCTTCGAGTGCACAAAATAAACACAAGATTTACTTTCAGGTGTTTTTTATTTCAGCCTTCTTACAAAAATAAAACCGTGCTTTTAAGTCTTTAGATTTATTCTAAGATCATTCATTAAACACAAGCACAATGAATGTTATAAAACATTATAATGCGCAAATTCAATGCAACAATTTTTGCCATGTTGTTTATAAAATGATTTATGAATATATTTGATTGCCATTATGTTGTTACGCTCAGTTCAAGGTAATTTTATTAACTATTTATTCTACTCGTGATTCGTGAATTCCTTTTGTAAATCATTTATAATTCTTAATTAATTGTTGCATTGAATTGAATAATAATAATTAAAAAAATGAAATCTGGGCAACACTTTGTTCAATTTGTTAATATTAGATCATAAACTAAAAATGAAAATAATTTTAACGCATTTATTAATTTAGATTAATGTTAATGTCTACATATGCTAATACATTTTAAATGGGTCAGGTTGTATAAATTAATATTAGTTCATTTGTTATGAATGAACTAACAGTGAATTAACAACAAACAACATATATGTGTGTGTGTGTGCGTGTATATATATATATATATATATATATATATACATACATGCATTTATATTTATTTATACATTTACATTAAGTTAGATTAATAATAGCAGTAAAAATTGTTCATTGTTGGTTCAGAAAACCTAATATTAAAAAATGTTACCGTACCGTAAAGTGTTACTGCTTGTGTTTCATGAATCGCTTTGAATGCACAAAATAAATAAACTTCAGCATGATTTTACACTGATTAATCAAAGAATTTTGTCTTTGTTCAACATAATTGCATCGACCTACTATTTTTAAATACACTCCATTGACAAAGACCATTTTAAGCGACTTCCTGCACCAGCGTCAGGTTCTTCCTGTAGCACATCAGACTGCACAGCGGCGTCCCCGTCTTGGAGCAGGAGTATTTCTTCAGGTTGGAGCATCCGGACATGCCGCAGCTCAGGGGCGCGGGGGGAGGCGCTCGCGGGGCAGCCGGCGTCGGGACGGGGATCCCGGCGGGGTACAAGACGGCGGAGCCCTGAACGTTACTGCTGTACCTCACCATGGGCAGCTGCGCCTGCTTGGACCTGCGCTCCTTCATGCTCTTGATCTTGGCCTTGCTGGTCTTGGTCAGTCTCTCGATGGTCTGGTTCTTGTTCTCCTCGGCTTTCTTGGCGGCCTGCAGGCGTCTTTTGCGAGCGCGCTCCTGACGTTTCTGCATCATCTCGGCCATCAGCTCCTTCTCTTTGTATCCCATCGGGAGCTCCAGTAACGGCTGGCTCTGCTGCTTATGTAAGAGCGCTTTCTGTTTAGATGGAGACGAAACTTTGTTCAGGTAAAGATCAGTTAAATGTCAAATACTTCAAATAAAGTCACCAATCAACAACTATTCATTTTTAGCTCATCAAATCAGATTTTGGGTGATAAAACCTACAAGTACTGTTTCTTCTGCTCACCAAGGCTGCATTTATTTGATAAAAAACATATGGTACAGTAAAATCATGAAATATTATTACAATTTAAAATAACTGTTTTCTATGTGAATATCTGTTAAACAGTAATTTATTTCTGTGATCAAAGCTGAATTTTCAGCATCATTCCTCCAGTCTTCAGTGTCACATGATCTTCAGAAATCAGTCTAATATGCTGATTTGCTGCTCAAGAAACATTTATGATTATTATCAGTGTTGAAAACAGTCGTGCTGCTTCATATTTATGTGGAAACCGTGATAAATTTTATTTTTCGGGATTCTTTGATGAATAGAAAGTCCAAAAGAACAGCATTTATTTAAAATAGAAATCTTTCGTAACATAAATGTTTTTACTGTCATTTTTGACCATTTTAATGTGTCTTTGCTGAATAAAAGCATTAATCTCTTAAAAAAAAATCTTACACCAAACTTTTGAACGGTACCGTATAACTTAATGCATTATGTTGGTGTTATTTTAATAATATTAATAAACTATTATAGATTTAATTAATATTTTGAATTTGCTTTTTTATTTTTATACTTTCAGTTTACATTTTAGTTAAATTTTTAGTAATTATGTTTGTTAATGTTATTACTTTTGTTTATTTTAAATATTACTATTTAGATTTAATTTATTTTATTTCGGTTTTACTTTTTTTTCCCTAGTTAGTCATTTTAGTGCTTCAACTTAAACTAGATGAAAATTAGAAATAAAAATAACTGAAGTAACATGTGACTTTATTCATCTTTCAGATGATGTACAAATCTCAATTTCAAAAAAATTGACCCTTATGACTGGTTTTGTGCTCCAGGGTCACATTTAACTTTGTCATCTACTATTTATATTCCTTTATTTCACCTTTAAAGTTAACAATAATAACCCTGCATCATGTCTGGTTATGGTGAGGTTTGCGCATCTTCAAAGCACTGTCTCCATTTGGAGGTTTTGTGGAGTTTTTGTTTCATTTAGATTGTGTGTGTTTTATATGGCACCTGTCTGGCTGTGAGCAGACACTCGTTGATGTCTTTCTTCAGCTCTCCGTTATCATCCAGCTCTCCTTTCTCCAGCGCGGCCAGCCATCGCTCCTCATCATCCATCGGGCCGCCCAGCAGCGAGTCCGAGTCCAAGTCCGGCACAGGAGACGGGTCCAGGTTACTGTCTTCATCTGGGTATTACCAACAAACAACACACTCACGCACATTAACACTGGCTTTGAGTCACTGAAACATATGTGTTTTTACTATATTCAAATGGTTCAGTCACCCAGCCAGGCTCTGTACTGCTCGATAGGAACTCCCTCAGACGGCACGTCATCATCTTCGCCATCAACATCGCTCTCTACGTTCAGAGGCGACACTGAGCGCAGAGAGTCCGGGATCACGGTGAATGTGGGCACACTGAAACAAGACCGAGTCGCATTACACTCATTACAGAGACAGCTTTACACTTGATGAATCTGCAATGTCTTCATCTTTAGACTTTAGACAATTCACCCAAAAACACAGCAGGCAAAAAATAAATAAATAAAATATATACATATTTAGGGTTTAGACACACCGAGACATCTTAGACTTTACATACACTCTTAAGGAGACAAAGCATATTTGACATTATACTTAATCTCTTTATACCATTTTCTCAATCAATGCAAGAAAAGAACCCCATATTGTCACAGTGTCTGGTTGATCTTTGCTGCACAGTATTGTACGAGGTTACATCCTGTTTTCGGTTCCCTGTGTTTTGGATTACCGTTTGTCTAGTTTTTGTTCTGTTCTGATTATTTGTTATTTTAATAAACTACTGCATTTGGATCTACCTTGTTCTTTTAATGAGATTTTTGTCATTTCAAAGCGATTGCAGTGATTGTTTAGTTTCTTTTATTATCATCATAACGCCATTAAAAACCCCATTAGGATTGCTTCTAAATTATGATAGAAACTCCATTGCCATTCAATTCATGGAATTTTATAACAAACCCCAATACAGATGCACAAAAATTAAAATCACTTTTCTCTGCCTTTTCTCTTTATGAATATGTGCTGCATAACACTTTTCTCTTTTTTTGGAGTTTATATCATAATTTAGAATTAATTTCTATCTAATGAGGATATGTTAAAGCCGCAGTCTGTAAGTTTTGCCTCTTTGTCGCCATCTCTGGTTGAAAACCTGGAATTGCAGCTGTGTGTGGAATTATCTAGCTTGCGTGGGTTGTGCACCGGCTCGGCTCCAGCGTGGATGAATCTAATGTTCTGAGGAGTATGTGTGTGTGGCAGTCAGTCACCGCACCGGTGTGGATATTTACTGTACTTCGCAATCACAGATTCTAGCCTACGTCTTGGAATATGACCCAAATAAGAATTTTCACCGTATATTGCCATCTGAACAAGTAACAAGTGTGCCACGTTTGTTGAATCGGGCTAAAGTAAGGAGATAGTTTTGAACACTGGCTGGTTATGTACTTGCTCAAATATTGATTTCGGATCATTTTTAACCAAAAAAAGTTACGGACTGCAGCTTTAATAGGCTTTTTACAAATTAAATTTCTAAGTGATTAATTACTTCTACGATCAAATTATTCTATCCAGTAAATCTGTATAATACAGTTTCATTTGGAACCATTTCATATCTAACAAGGAACTTTGGGTTTTTTACAGTGTTTCTAAACTTCTAATGGATTAGTTTCTTCTGTAATCCATTAAAATTGTGATAATACCGTTAAACTCCTATTAAGATTGCTTCCAAATTATGAATTTTTAAACTCCATTGGCGTTCCTGTATGACAAACCCTGTAATACAGATGTACAGAAATGAAAATCACAATTTCTAATGTCTAATTTACGAAATGTTCTCCACCTGCGTCCCATCAGAAGCATGAATTACGCTCGCTTTCTGACAGCTGTGAGCGCGGCGAGAAAGCCGTCACCTATTCGCGTACTGAGTGAGTGTGATTTGTATTATTATTTGACTGTTTGTAACCCATGATATGGCCTGATTTGTGGCTTGGTTCTGATCCAGCGGAGCTTCAGCAGCGGTCTCCCCCGTCTCTGATCTCTTTGGCCGGAGGATCTCCCAATCCCAACACCTTCCCGTTCCAGTCGGCCAGCATTAAAGTGAAGGGAGGCGAAGCGCTGGTGATGGACGAGCCTCTGATGAAGAGAGCGCTGCAGTACTCCGGCTCATACGGGTATCACAATACACAATACACACTGGTGTCTGGAGTTATGTATAACAAAATTTCAGTAGTCGGTACCAATGCCAGTAAAGTTCCACGGTTGTCATGGTACCGAGCAAAAAGCGCTCTCTTTATAATAAATGAAGCTGATATCATTTGCAGCGCAAGCTGACCGACTGAGTGAAAGCTCCCATTATAATAATAATAATAATAATAATAATAAAATATATAATAAGCAGAGCTCGGTAGATTACTTACAAATTGTAGTCCGTTACTGATTCCAAATTACATTGTAGTTAATAACGTAATTATGGAAGCCTGTTTCCGCCACTGAATAAAAAATAAAAGAGGTAATTGTGACTTTTTATCTCACAATTCTGACTTTTTTTCTCAGAATTGCGTGATACAAACTCGCAATTGCGAGTTAAAAAGTCATAATTGAGAGATATAAACTCGCAATTGCGAGACATAAAGTCAGAACTGCGAGATATAAACTCACAATTCTGACTTTTTTTCTCGCAATTCTGACTTTTTCTGAGAACATATCAGTCTTTTTTCCCCCGTCAAAATTGGACTTTTAACTCGCAATTGCGAGTTTATATCTCACAATTCTGAGAAAAAAAAGTTCGAATTGCAAGAAAAAAAGTATTTTTCTGTCTAAAGTCTTTTTCAGTCTAAATTCTGACTTTATAACTCGCAATTGTGAGTTTATATCTCAAAAATGAAAAAAAGTCAGAATTGTGAGATAAAAAGTCGCAATTACCTTTTTTTAAATTTTTTATTCAGTGGCAGAAATGGGCTTCCATACGTAATCCATTACATTACACATTTTAGGTAATATAATCAGACTACTTTTGATTACTTTTGACCTAACTCGTTTATCACACATAAAAGGGAAAAAAATTGAGAGAGACAATGGAGAGAACGATGTCAAATTTACCGTCCCTCCCATAGACGCTGCATTAGAAACACCCTCGCATTAGCATTAACTGTTTTTTTGTAATTTGATGCAAAGGTGATATAATACAAAGAATAGTGTTATAAATGTACATACATTTAAAAAAAAATACAAATATGAAAAACTTTCGAGGATTTACGATGCTGATGACCGTTAAACGCGTGATCACAGTCTTGTGAAAAGGGTCCATTCGTTGTAATTAACAACATGAAGTGCATTAAACATTACGTCAAGGTTCCCCAAACTAGGTACTTGAGGGAGGGTTGTGAGTTTAACGAAAAACTAATAATTAAATTGTTAAAAAGAAAAATTAAAATAAGTCGTTTTGAAATAACATCAATCAAAATAAAGCACTTCCTAAAAAAATGTCATGTTTTATTTGTTTACCTGCATGTCATGTGACCATTAACCAACAACCGTGAACATGCAAATGTGATACTTAATTATTAAATATTTATTTTAAAATCTCAGGGGTACTTCAAGTAAATATATTAGATGAAAGATGTTCAGATGACAAAAAAGTTTGGGAAAGTATATCCACCTGACTAATGACTGGTCTCTGTGTGAACGTCCACAAAACTGGACTTTCTGAGTGTATATAAGCGGTAGATTATTTTAAAAAAGGAACATTTAAAAGATGAAAAAGAGGAATTAGGGAGAATCAATAAATTATGAATAATTTACTGCTATTGTGTAAAAAAAAATGTAATCATGCAATCAACAAAAAAGCAACTGTAGTCTGATTACAAGTATTTTAAAATGTAATTTAATATAATTACAAGTGCATAAACGCCTCTGATTGGCCGTTGCGTTCACGTGCTCAACAAACATGTCAGTGATTGGCTACAGCGCTCAACGCTGCAAAAACACGTTGCAAATAGAAACCTTTGATGCTATTTATATTCATAGAGCGCTCACGCAAATATGGGAGCGGTGGAAAGCAGCCGCATATCAGCGGGTGGAAAGCTGGTATAGTTACGTTTTTAAAGAGTATCAACAACACTAGTTGGCTTGTATGCATGTCCGTGTGTTCGCAGTATTCCTGAGCTGCTCTCGTGGATGAAGGATCTTCAGAAAAGCCTCCACAATCCTCCCACCACCGGCTACAGTCCAGAGAGAGGACAGATGGAGATGTGTGTCACCACCGGCAGTCAGGAGGGGCTCTGCAAAGTACATCCACACCGTTAACATCACACATCAGATCATCTGTTTGCAATCTGGAACTAATCAGATGGATTTTAAAGTGCTACTTGTGGCTAATAATAATATGGTCACCTATATAACATACATATGCATCCCTATTCAGGGTTATTATAATTAACGAAGCCTTCCTGTAGCGCAAACAGTAGAGCATTGCAGTAGAAACACAAAAGTCATGGGTTCGATTCCCAGTGAAAGTGAGAACTGATAAAACGTGTACCTTGAACCCAATGTAAGTCGCTTTGGATAAAAGCATTTGTCACATGTATAAATGTAAACTAAAACCATAAAAAAAAACATATTTTGTTACTTAAAATAAACGTGAAATAATGGAAATTATAAACTTGAAAGTTAAAACTAAAACTAATAACTAATTAACAACTAACTAAAATAGGTTGAATTTGACATACTGAAATTACTAAAAACTAAAATAAAATAAATTAAAGTTGTATAGAAAAAAGAAAACTTCCAAAAAAAGAGCTAAAATTAAAATGAAAACAGAAAATGTAAAAACTAATCCAGTTAGTATATTACTAAATACTGTAATAGTATATAAATTATTTACATTTAGTCATTTAGCAGACGCTTTAATCCAAAGCGATTTACAAATGAGGACAATAGAAGCAATCAAAACTAACAAAAGAGCAACAATATATAAGTGCAAATGACGTAGAACAGATGTGTTTTTAGTCATTTATTGAAGATGGTTAAGGACTCAGCTGCTCTGATTGATTTGGGCGGGTCATTCCACCAGGAGGGAACAGTTAATGAAAAAGTCTGCGAAAGTGATTTGTCATTGGAGATAAGCAGACCAGTACCTCCACCTCTTCCAGTCAGACGGGGGGAGTGGGAAAAAGAGAAATTATTTGAGGGCTGCAGGTGTAGCATTGTCATCTGGATTGATCCACGTCTCTGTCAGGGCCATGAGGTTTAGTCTTGAATGACTTGTAATAGAAGTAATAAAATCTGCTTTGTTTACAGCAGACTGGCAATTCCAGAGACCAATAGAAAAAGAAAGTAGTGTATTAGTAGACATAGGCAAAGTGCGCAGGTTGTTAGGATTGCGCTGCCTACAGTGTGTGATGCATGGTTTGCGAGTGGTAGTAATAGTAGGGATCTGGAAACACATAGTAAGAATTGGTTATAAAAACTGAAAACAGAAGGGGAACAAGTAGTAGGAAAGAGAATGATTCAGAAGCGATACTTATGTCACTTGCCGGTGTCCCTGCTCGGTGGAGTTGAACAGTAGTGTCAATGGTCTTTACACTCTTCGGTCTTCACACGAGAGCTTCACACAAGGGCTGCCGCGGTATACTTAGCTTTTTATATTCGTCTAACAAAACTCAAATTGAATTCAGCTGGACACACTTTCCTGTTTATCACAACAAATGGCCAAGCAAAGCGCACGACATTGCGCTTTGCAGACAAATTATACTAAAAGACACATAATAGCATAAATGTAAATTTATTAACAAAAAAATTGTTACACAAAATAAAATAAACATTAACTTAAACATGTTTTATTTGAACTTGCTGCCAAGGCAACATTTCTCATTTTCATTTAGTTTGAGTTGATGTACTGAAATAGCTAAAACTGAAATAAATTGAATAAAAACACTATTTAGACATGATACAAATACACAAAATTACTAGAACTTTAACAAAAAAGTAAATTAAAAATATTAATAAAAAACTATGATAGTTATAAAAATATAATATCAATGACACTAAAATAACACTGTCCCTAATAAAAGCTCTTGTGGAGACACGGTTACTCCTGATGTTTGTAAAGCGAGAATTCAACGTTATAAACGTTAACTGAAGTTTAGTTTCATTTAGTCTCATTTTCATTCAACTTGATGTACTAAAATAACTACAACTGAAATAAAATTAACAAAATCTATGAAAATGACAAAAACACTAAAACTTTAACTTAAGTTAAAATAAAAGCAGAAAATGTAGTAATAATAAAAAATTCACTAGAAACTACATCTCAATGGTACTAAAATAACATGTAATATGCTAATAATATAATAATATATGTTCTTGTGGATACATAAGAAGAGCATAAAGTTCCTGATAAACTGAGAATTATGCTTGATATTATTAGTGATATGCATATAGAAGTATGTGCCATAATTTAGGATAATATCACATGGTAATTTTCTTCTTCGCTCTGTTCATCAGATCTTTGAGATGCTGGTCAATTCTGGAGACAACGTCCTCCTCGACGCTCCCACGTACTCAGGAACGCTGGCGGCCGTACGAAGCACATTTCCCATCATCACCATGTTTTACCTGCGATCTCTCTCGACCCATTAAACGTAAACATTACCAACTCCTTCCTCAACAGCTGCAGCCGCTGGGCTGTAACCTCATTAACGTGGCGAGCGATCAGCACGGCATGATCCCTGCGGACCTGAGGAAGATTCTGGAGCGCTGGGACCCGGCAGATGCACAGAAACCGGGAAGCAGCGTCCCGAGAGTCCTGTACACCATCCCGAACGGAGGCAACCCCACCGGAGCGTCCATGACCTGTGAGAGGAAACAGGAAGTCTATGAGGTGAGCAGAGTTGCACACAACGTACGTCGTTCAATTCTGCGTTTGTGTACTTGCATAGAGTTTGAGTCTGTCCTAAATGCTCCCTGTCCAACCTTACCAGTATATTCAGATGTTTTGTGTGACATTTGTGATTTAGAGTGTGTTTACTTGCTCTTTCTATTATGCTATAAAAATAGTATAATATTATACTAAATATATAAAAAAATGTCAGCTTTATTTCAATTGTCGGCAAATAAAGCTGAAATAAAATACAAAAATAAATAATAATAAAAAAAATGTTAATGAAAATTAGAAATGTCGCCTTGGCAACTAACTGAAGTAAATAATCTGAAGTTGACGTACTAAAATTACTAAAAATAAAAATAAATTAAAGCTATATAGAAAATTTAGGGGAAAAAATCCCCAAAAATGAATAAAGATTACAAAAGCACATAACATATTACTTAAACTAAAATCTTAAAATAAAACCTCATTTGAAATATTAGTATATACTATACTTGTATGTAAACAATACTAAACTAAAACGAGAACTGAAAATATTCAATTAAATCTAATTCAGAATATATACTATACTAGTATAGAAATAATGCTAAACCAAAACAAACTGAAAATATTTAACTAAAAGCTTATTCAAAATATTAATACATGCTTAGTGTATAAATACTAAAATGAAAACTATAAAATATTAACATAAAAGCTAATTCATAATATGTATATATATATAGTAGTATATAAATAATGCTAAACTACAATGAAAACTGAAAATATAAAAACAAATGTGAATTCAAAGTATTAATATATGATATGCAAGTATATAAATAATACTAAACTAAAATGAAAATATAAAAATGAATTCTAATTAAAAATATTAATATACTATTCTAGTACTATTCTACCATATTATTTTTACATGTTAAAATGTTTTTAATCTAAAAAAGACAACTATGAAAGTTTGTAGTTTAAGTGTAAATATTGCTGTTTGTTCTCAACCAATGGCGTGAGTTTGGGGGCGGGGCTGTTTGTTTTTCCCGATCAATGGCAATGTCGCATGTGTTTGTGTTTTTAATTTGCAGCTTGCCAGGAAATATGATTTTCTTATCATTGAAGATGACCCATACTATTTCCTGCAATTCCAAAAAGTAAGTTCCTCTGATTTATCGCTTTATTCACAGCGTGTGTTTGTATTGTGTGATTGATTAGCATACAGCAGTAGTCATATACTGACCTCTCTGATAGCCTCTGAATTGCAGCTGTGATAAGATAACACTCAGTAAGAACCAATGTAAAGTCAGTCCTCTCTTCTTCTGTTGCTCTGCTGTCATCCAGCCGTGGGCTCCAACGTTTCTGTCCATGGACGTAGACAGCCGCGTCCTGCGAACGGATTCCTTCTCTAAGATCCTGTCGTCGGGGTGGGTGTTTGTCAGCGGGACAGTGCTGTTTTTGTCATGAGACACAGCTGTCACACTCATGGTATTCACTCAAGAGAGAAAAGCTCGGAAAAGCCTGTGTGTTTTCCTCAGGGAGTGAGAAAACCTTGTGTAAGGGTAGTGTATGGAAACACTGAGATATATACCAGAAACCCTGTCAATTACATCTTTCCACTTATGTTATTACCACGCTTTTTAACCATGGTAATACTTTTGTTTTGTTTCGTTCTTT